AAAGCAAGGAAAAACTAGCTGTGGGTATTGGCTAGAGCTCTAATCTCCATTAAGGAATGTCCATTGTTCATAACAATAATGTGGATAGAGGTAATATGACTCTGATCTGACTACATGACTCAGCTCTCAGGCAATACGACCTGCCGATCGTTGAGGGACTAACTGAGCTTTTAACAAACGAAAATACGGCAAGCGAAAAGTAGTTTTTAGCTGACTTTCTTTATTGGACATACCTGTCGCCATGTGGCCATGATTTCACGCTGGACTGCTTGAACGATTTTAACCTGCCGGCAGGTATTTTATAGTCTCTTTAGTTAAGAAAATACAATAAACGCCAGCCGAAGCGACCCGAGGAATCCATCTTTACACGTAAAACGGTTTATCTTCAGGGATTCTTCAGGGAAATGGCACAGGGACACCCAACGACGGTTTCCTCCTAAATGCATTGAAAACACTTTTTAGGCAAAGCACTTTTAGATCTTTAGAAATACATTCCCATCGGCGCTATAAAATTTATATCTGTTCGGTCATCCTATGGCAACTTGTATCTTTTCGAAATTACTAGGGTTTCCGTATTATTTTCCCGAAAATTTTAGATGCAGTTTAAAGTTTTACGAAGGTGAGAATTTTTTTTCTTGAATCCGAAAATTTTAGCTTTCCCTTTTATTTGAAGAATGGCTTAATCCGGGGAGTGAAATGCAAAAAAAATTACTTCAGAAAATCGTAAGGAATTTATTAGATAAGCTTGGAAACTATACATGAATGGAATGGTCATCTAGAAATTCTTAGCCTTCCTCAAGGTATAGAAAATTCTAGGCAATTTTTGCTTCTCGGAACAGATATTTTACAGAAAACACCCGTTGGGTGCCCCTCATGGCACTTTCAGGGGTAAAAATGCGTAGAATTTCTGGGGATTCAAGACCCCGTCAGCGAAGGTGAATTTTGCTCTGTTCAGTTGACTGTGTCTTTTTTATCGCGCCTTAAATTGCTTGGATATATTTGGAATTCACGCATATGCGATTGAGTGCGTGAAGACTAATTTTTGGCCGTCACGGTGAACAAGAAATGTTCTTTCGACTTGGAAAAAAAATTCGGTCGACAGACTGAATTTTAAAATCAAAATTTTAGATAATATTCCAAAATAACTGTTTGCGTACCAGGTCCTTGGTACGGCCACAGGGAGAGCCTCAGAAAGTTAAATTTTCGTTGAGTTGAGTTCTTAGTAAATTAAGATTCATGAATTGAAGTGAGGATCTTTCAACTTTGAGTCCAATTTTTCAGTAAGGCACTTTCAATGAGTGGAATAAATAATAAAAACCGCATGCAGCGTTCAAATTAAATATGATTGCCCGAGATTTTCCCGGTAGCACTACACTTTAATGATTAAGAAATGATATAAAAGGCCCAAAAAAGGAAGCTTTATTATATCCGTCCGATTGGTTTCATTAGGAAGCTTTAGCAAAGTAGAAAATTAAAGCAATGGGCTTTAACGACCAAAACATTACTCTACGCTAACCTTAACCTGCTCTGCACGTGTATGATGACGCATGCAATTTTCGGTCAGATTTCTTTGCCGTTGCTACGCGACTAGGACCTGTCCACACGGATCCGTTTTGATTTGAAAACGCGACTTTTTCTTTACGGATATGGCTTCCGTCCACACGTATCCGATGAAAACAATCAATGAAAACGGAACATTTTGAAAACGTTCTCCAGAGTTGAACTTTAAGAAAACGCCGTTTTCACGTGTATATGTGGACGGACGAAAAACGAAGTTTTCAAAAACGCTGAGCACCCCCCACACTATCAGTTCCAATCCACTCCGCGTAATATTAGAAACTTATTCAAAATGGCGGACCAGCGCTTCCCTTTCTTGTCTTTTATACCTGGGCTTATTTCTACCCTAATTGCTTGTTTTCAAGCAAATTTAGCTTTGTTAATTCTTCAAAGCGGATTATTCCCGTAGGCGGCAGAACATTATTAGGTTATTTCTTTCGCCACCGGTGTCAAGAGGCGGAAGGTTGGATCTCCCTTTAGTTTGACTTTGTTTTTGCCCTTATTTTGACATTTTAGACTGTTTCTGCGACTTTGAAAAACGTCACAACAATACAAACCCACACCAAAGAAATTCAAAGATGGCGACAATTTATTATTTCGCGGGCTCATAATAACAAACACGTAGGCGCGTATACATGAAAGAAGCGAAAATAGCTAATAATTCTTCATGAGACCAAACTTTAAGCTCTTTACACAGAAGTCTCATTTTGGTTTCGAAGTTAAAATGATGCCGAAAGAAAATATACAGCAGTTTAGATCAGTTGGTGCTTGGAACGTTTCTTTTTGCACACAGGTTGCATACCGGCTTACCCCTGGCCAAAGTGGCCGAACAAGGGGCCTTCAGATTAAAACGAAGCGGTCTTTTTCTATGATGCAAGATTTTGGGCAAAGCTCAGAAGCTGTCGGCTTTTCACAAGTTAGTAAAATGTTACGGCAACTTACAGGAGAAATTTCAGCTCACTAAATGGGTATTTCTTATCTTAGAAGAAGAGTAACCTCTTTTTTGTCCGGACCAAGGACCACATACTGTACTCAACGTCGCCAGGCCAGAACTTATCTCTGAACTGTTCAGCTATTAAGCGTCGCGTATCACTTTAAACCCTTGTTGCGTCCGCGTGACACTAGGCTAACACGTCTCACCTACTTAGCACTGTTTTCAAAATACAACGCACCCGGAATTAGTGAGATAAAAAGGTCAACGTTTCACTGTTCAACGTCTTGTATATTTTTCACAAATGGTGACAAACAAAAGCAAATACAACGCTGTAAATAGCTTTTAAAAGCGAAAAGATGTAATTTGTAATAGAATTAAATCTGGTCAATCTAAGCTGATCTTGTATTGCTTGAATTCATAAGAAACTAATACAGTGTGCAGAACACATTATTAACATAACATTTACATATCCGATTATCTTGGAATGGAAATTTACCTATATCAGGAGCTGCCTATACTACAAAAACTTAATTGAAAACTGCGAGAAAAACCATCAACAAACCTGTAGTAAACAGAATATAAATACCAGCTCCCGGGCGAGAAAAATTGAACACATGAGATCGAGGCGAAATGTGCCAGACCGGTCCAAGATGGCGTCCAAACTGTGAAATCGCATGGCATACGGAACGGTTACTACATCATGTACGGTCCACGAATAGTAAGCGTTCTCCTTCGTCGAACGCAATAAAGTGTATCTCCTTCTGACAGATGCCAAACTTCTTTTGAGGGATTCCATTAATTTACAAGTTATACATATATAAAGTGTACCTCCTTCTAAGAGATGTCAAACTCCTTTCAAGGAAATTCTATTTACAAGTGAAACATAAATACACTGTACCTCCTTCTGAGGGATGCCAAACTCCTTCTGAGGGATGCCATTAATTTAAAAGTTATACATATATAAAGTGTACATTATTCTGATGTCAAACTCCTTTTGAGGGAGTCTATTTAAAAGTAAAACATAAATACAGAGTACCTCCTTCTGAGAGATGGCAAACTCCTTATGAGGGATTCCATTTACAAGGTGTACATAAATACAGTGTACCTCTTTCTGAGAGATGTCAAAATTTTTTTTGAGGGATTCCATTAATTTATAAGTTGTACATAGATAAAGCGTACCTCCTTCTGAGAGATGCCGAACTCCTTTTGAGGGATTCCATTTACAAGTTAAAAATAAACACCTCCTTCTGAGGGATTCCTTTTCAGAATTCTGAGGTTTTGATCTGTACAGCCCCCGAAATGATACCGACCCCGAAATGATCCCCACTTATATTCTTAGTATCGAAAGATTCCTTACGTTTAAGGAACAGAAGAGTTTAAAATAATTTCACTAACATTTCCCTTGCCGTTCGAAGTTCTTTATTCTTAAATTCTGTTAGAAATTGCCAGTCCGACGACGAAAGATGATCGCGAGATGCGCCATCTTGTCTCACGAGCCGAAGATTGCCGAAGCAACTATCGTTTCTAGTCCTCTTCGATCACCTCCTTCTGAGGGATTCCATCTAGCCTCGACCTATTAGAATTGTTAATGAACTGAAGACTGGTGTCTGCTTTAGAAAGCCCCCTCTTGACACCTTTCATATGAAAAATAAAATTGACTCGACCTGATTAGCATTCGAGATTGTAAGTGAATTGTTACTTTTTAATTGGCACATTTGTTTGTATAAACATGCCAATAAAAGGTCGCTAGATCTCACTAGCTCGATAGTACTGGCAACGTTTCATTCTTTCCCCAGTCTCCCCATTTCTCATCCTTTAACATCTAGTCAACAATAATACTGAGATCAGAATTTTTATGCCACACTTTATTAATTTTTTTTGGGATGAAGTCAACGTGTGCATTAATCAAGTAATATTAGACTATTATCCACTTGTCTTTTACAGGTATTAGGTTGATTTACATATACGGCTGGTGGGAGTTTCATCAAACAGACAAATTCAAAATCGTAACTTTTGAAAATACCGTCCTCATAATCTTATATCACAATCACTGTGAATCACTGATTATATTTAGTATTTGCTCCTTTACTTGCTCAGCTTTAGTCCTTTCCGGCTTTTACGGTCACAAAAATATTCTCAAATTGATGATGATGGATAGAAATCAGGAAAACACCTTTTAGTTTAACATGTTTCATCACATTGGTTACCCCATTTAAATTTTTGCAAAGGAACTGAAATCCTTTTTAGAAATGAAACTTTACATATAAAGTTAACCAATGACAAGAGACTATTTACTGCTTCAGTATGTGAATTTCGATGGTGGCTTGACCGGAGTCTCGATCCCAAATTTCTCTCGTGCCAGTAGTTATCTCCTTCGAAGGGATTATCGTAATACATCTGGTACCAAAGATTGTAGTTGGCGCGTCTTTTACCACTGTAAAGCCAAACATCAAACCAGTTGCTGTACCAGTTGTAGTCAAATGGAACGGAATACATAACAGCAAGTGTTTTATCGATGTCTGGGATGTAGTATGTTAGTGCCTCCTACTGCACCTCTCGCAACGGGCCCTGCAGTTTTTCGTGCGCCGTAAAGCAAAGCTGAGCCTGGAAATAAGCAAACAAATTAGCAATTTAAACAAAAATCATAAACATGATCATTCGTCACAATAATCCATGGCAAACAAGCATCACAGAATAGAGGCATGTACCCAAAAAAAAATTCACGAAGAATGTGTCAGATCATTAAAATGTCCTCCTTTATTGGCACCCAGAAATTTTATTTGTGTCAGGTTAGTGATTGCTTATCTTTTCCCCAAATATTACACGCAAAGGGATGCTCATTCTGAGCATCACACACTCAGAATACTACTTTTCAGTTGGTTTAAGAAGCTCTTTCAACCCTTCAAGTCATTTTGCCGTTCTGACAAAGCAAAACATAAACCTGTTGTCAGCCAAATTTCAAGAATGGGCAAATCCTCTGATACAGTTTCTTTACTCTTTAGGGTAAGTGGTCGCTGAGTTCGCCCTTGGTTTCCTACAGTAATAGGCCCTTTGCACGATGAGCTCATTTAACTACTACTACTACTACCCGAGAATCACTCAGGGTTTTGCTTTCTTGGACAAACGATGGCTTTTATTTTTCAAACCTCGCATAACCTGCGATCAGGCCCCCAAAACAAAAAGGAAAGAAGGACCGCCCGATTGCAGGTTAAACTCTTCGCAGAGATTAACTAGAAAATTAAAATATGACAAGAAAACCATAATGGATTCTATAGTAATAGATCAGACCTTTTTAGCTTGCATGTTTTGTTTTCCCATTTCAGACCCAGTGATGGTACCCCAGAGAACTGTTTCTTTCAATGTCGTCTTTTGCACATGCACCCACATGTCAGGATGTATGCATAATTATATAAAAGACAAATTCCCCGAAGAACGTTGGGAAAATAAAACAAACAAGCTAATGACACCATCCTGCATACGGGACTCAGTGTCATTACTAAAAGAAAGGATCTTAAACTTTTATGTTATTAATATTAATTTTACCCGAAGAAACATCACGAGGCAAAACACGATCTGACGTCCCTGAATAAAAATATATGTTGACTGCTCTCCATTTATATCCACTTTCGTTATCAACACCAATAGCGACCTTGCGGCTTATGCTACCAAGGGTGTTTAAAATTGTTGTGAGAATGCCCAAGCCAAGTTGAGCACCGCTGATGACTGCAGCGTCAGCTAAAATTTTAAAGCCCAAATTAGCACAAGAAAGCAAAATCCTGAAGGATCCTGGTCATAGAAGTAAAATGACGCCATCATGCAAATGTCCTATTTACAGTTCTAATTACGGGCAACAAGAGGAGCGCGCAATCCTATCTCCAGGTTGTTATTACGCATGCCTCGCATGTATGTAGCCAGTATTCGTTTGGAATTCCACTACGAATATATGGAATGCACAGAACACGCTTTGATGACGCGCGTTTGGACCTTTTGTCATTCGTAATCTGATTATGCATGTTTTGACTATCAGTCACGTGAAACTTACGCAAAGCACAGTGCTGGAGCAAAAGCGATTTTACCTTTGATCGTTGTCGCCCGCACTCCGTAACCTTTAGTTATTATTAGTATGTATACGGCACTGTATTTGTCTGCGGGTGAGAGGCCGAGCCTGCCAGCATCATTCAGTTTGTGCTGGGATGCGGTAAGAAGTCGTTTCAGCGTAAGTACCCATAATCTGGTTTTTTTTTTACTACTAGTTTTATCCGCCGGTGGGCTCTTTCTCAGAGGTTCTCACTGTAGAGAAATTACCCGATTTTATTTGAGGGGCTGGGGCACCGGCACTCAGTCTACTCTCACTAATATTGAAAATAAAAAGGTGATAAATTAAAGTATTTACTGGGCTTTTCCATTGTTTCCCTGCGGATTGTTTTTACCCTGGTCTCAGCCTGCTAGTGTACTAAGAAGCCTCTCTGGAGGACCAAATCCCGTGTCAATTTTAATGCAGTAAAGGAAAACGATATTGACTTTAAAAGTCAGTTCCTCCATTAATCGATCTATTTGAGCGAGCGACACAGCTAGTAAAAGTTTGCATTAATTCATATATTGTCGAAAAAAAACAAACAAAAAATAAAAATTATTAACTGCTTTGAATTTGTTTAACAAATTAAAGCAAAGTTACCCCGTGTGGGGAAAAACGTGCGGTTTTTTTTTCTCTCGAGCAATAGCAAATGGATCTCTTTTTCTTTTTTCTTGCCCCCCGTTTTAAGAGCGTGCGTGAAATAATGACGCTAAGTTAATGTAGTAGACAGTTGCCGTGTAAAAATCAACCCGCTATTTTTTTGGATTTGCACATCAGTTAATTGTGCACTTTAGTGCTCACGAAAGTAAATAGAGTAAAGGGGTTAAAACTTCTTTTCTAATCGACCTTTTTTGAGTTAAATGTTTCAAAATTTGTCTTTACCTCAAATCTTGGGAGTCGGTTGCGTCCGTTTACACGCAGCCTTTACAGCTTTTTGACGACAGCGACGCGGATTAAAACAAATGTCAACTTAACACGAATTATATATTGTATGTATTAATATATTTTTTTATATATCAGTTTAACTTAGCCTTCTTTAAACGATGATCCACCTGCAAATAGTTTTCGTGACCATGTCTTCATTAACGGTCAGAAATGCGTTCCTCCATTACCACAACAGGCAAAAGTTCATGAATTTCAGTACTATAAGTTGCAAGTGCATCTGGCGTTAAATGGTTGAAGTGTTTTTATAGGGCAGGGGGTCGGCCTGGTCATCCTAAACTAATTACCTTTTTTGTACGATGCAAAGCCATGCCAATATCCGTCGACACATCTTCCCGCAAAATGGATACGGTCTCTTAAACATGAAGTACCCTTATACCTTTCATCCCTATCAATGATCAGCATCTAACCTCTCTCTATCGTACGAATTCTAATTCAAACATTGAAGGTCGTGTGAGTAGAGAAAATAATCAAGAAAAGTAAAATGTTCCAATATTTAGATGAAAATGTAAATTGTGAACAGTGTGAGGAATATGTGGGTTGAGATGCAGTGGTTTCTTTTACATGCTGTGTGTGCGGGAGGGCATGTCTCTGAACCTAAAATGAATAAACAAACAATAGGAAAGAAATTGTAAATTCTATTGCAATTTTTATTTTATAAATGTGTTACGGCGTACATGTCGGTGAATATCTTGTTGTTCAGAAAGAATCGTGTTATGAAACACTGATTCTTGGTCACCTCTACTGTAAACTTACTGAGCGTCAGTTCTACGTTTTAGTTGTTTTTCCTTGTCTTATGCAATTAGTTCTGCTCTGTTAACTACAATATTGTTTTTAACAGCTCCTTGGTTAATATTGAAAGTGAGCGGATCGGGTCTCCAACTAGCGAACACTCTATCGGTATCCAATGATGAACACTCCGCTCCAATCTTTTTCGTCGGTCTTCCCTGCAATGCTTTTCTTAGCCTCACCTGGGTGGACCAACTTTACCTTCAACTGGCCAGCTCCAACAGGAAACCACATATTGGCAGAGTTAACGGCCAACAAGCTTTGCCCTGTCGCCACATTCATGTACTGCTTGAGATCTGGTCCTCCCAGCATGTTTGTAGAAATTTCGTAGTATCCCCTCTGAAAAGATCCTTCCCCCTGTGTTGTGACAAATACGTACACGAACACTTCATTCGCCTCTGGTGGCACTCCTCCGCCTTCCACTTTTAGGTCGTAAATCTTTTCCTCCTCGGGAAATTCCGGCAATTCGCCCAGTGATGTGACTAATGGAGTATACGTTGCCATGATTTAGACGAAGGAACTGGTGAGTCGAAACTGATGTGGAACAGAGGTGCAAGATCAGTAAGAAACACGGCTCTTGCGTAAAATTGGGTGGGACGTTCGATGCTCCAGTAAATATACAAGCTCAGTTGACATCCCGGATGTTGTTTATATTTGGAGTTTGCCAGCTTCATGCAGCACGTGTCTTTATTGGCTCCTCTGACACATAACAATAAAGGAGTTGTTCGGTGCAGTAAAATCTTGTGTTCAGGCGTCGTGTTAAGAGTTGAACAGGTTTTTTCCGGACAGTGTCAAACTGCTAAAGGATTTATCCCCCAATCCGTATGATCGGATTAAGAACCCGAGACAATATAGTCAACATAGTGAAATCGCACGTCCTTTTGGCATCTTAGTACTACATATAGTTGATGCATTTAGATATTCGCAAGGAAGGCTAAAAAGATATTAACAGTCTGTTGCCATATCATTGGAAATGGGTCGTATTTTCCTCACTGTTTTCCGTACTTCTGCTACAGTTATGATAACCAGAAACTTATCAACAAGGAAGACCTTTGATCATTTCTTTCTTCTCCTTACCTTTATGGGTGATTAAGCAATTATATCATAATGAGACTTTACACTCTGATAACTGTTAGAGAGGGGTTACAGGCTCAAGAGTAAGAAAACAGAAATATTATGTGGATATTAGCACGTTTAGTGATCCTTAAAATAAGTTTTCCAAAGAAAACTTTAGAACTCCTTACCTCATCTCCTAGTCTTGCTCTTAGCATTTTTGACACTTTCATCGCTATTCCAGCGAGTTTTAGTTCTTTCTTTGTTCTCTCTAAAAATTTTCCGAAGTGACGACCGTTAAAATCGCCTCAAAAACCCAGTTTATTATGATTTTTGTTACGCTACAATGATTCTCACTCCTGAGCTGTGGTAACATGTGGAACATGCAGATAAGAGGTGAGAGGGCAAAAGTTCACCAATGTTGACGAAATAATTTTATCACGTTCTCATTTTGTTGTCAGTTAGTTAAAGATATTCAGCACGTTTCGGGTTTTTTATATCACGATTCTCGAAACTATAAAAAAGTGAAGTGCAAATGCAATGAAGTTTGAATGGCGAAAATGATTCTATATGAACGATGGAGGGTGTGAACATTTCAAGAGTTTTTACCCTTAGAAGACAATGCAACTGACTGGTGCCTAAACCGGGGTATGTCCCGCCCAACAGGGTTTGTTTTTCTGGGTCTTGAGTCTTAAAGAGGGTATACAATTGGGTTATTTAGCGTCTTTAACGTGTTGTCTTTCTGGGCTGAAAACCTTAAACAGGGTGTGAACGTTGGTGGTGCGCGGTCCGAATCAAACGGATCTTATTAATATTTTGCTAAATTTTATTCTGTGTCAGTCAGTTAATATATACTTTATTCTGATCAGCTAAATCGATGCTCTCACAACTCCAACACCAACGACAGTTAATGTCAAATAAAAACCACCACTTTTAAACGGATTTTTGCACACATTCTCCTCTTTTAAAAAAATGATACTGAGTTAATTTCAAAGACAAAAGTCAGTGAAAAACCGGTTATTGTTCTTATTGACTGTCGTTCTTATTATGACGTACAAAATAACAGAGGAGTATGGGGAAGAATTTATCTTAGCTGAATGAAAAAGAAAATGGTTGGGGAAAGGGGGGTTACCCTCCGTAAAAAAATACCTTTTTAAAAAAGATAAACTGTCAATCAGAAAATATAATCACCTGTAATATTATTTCGCTCTTTAAAACTTTGAAAGTAAGTAAAAAAAACCAGTTGCTATTCTTATTAGAGGAGGATGTTAAAAATCATGGGATTCAAGTCATAAAAACAACTGCCATAGGAAGAGAGAATGAGAAAAAAAAAAAACAAAACACCCATCCTGAATTACTTCGTTCTCAAACCTTTTCAGTGTAGAATTCCAGGAAGTTTAATAATAATAATAATGATGATGATATTTGTTGATTTGTATTGCGCAAATATCAATCCAGGGACAGAAATTTTCATCTGCGCATTACATCAACTCAACAAAATCCTAAAATCCTAATACATATTCCAATTAAAATAACATAAAAAAAAAAAACAATGACTAATTAATCCTTAAAGTCTTATTTACAGATCGCTCCTCATAATTTGTTAAAATAACAAGACTAAAATTCTAAAAACAATGACTAATTATTCTTCAAAATCCTATTTACAAATCCTTCTTTATAAAAAGAATAAAAAACAATAAATTAGCTGGGAAACGCCTTATGAAACAGATGAGTTTTAAGAGCCTTCCGTCTTAAAAGCATTAACTGAAGATACAGCGGGCAGCCGTATAAAAAGATCGATCACCAAGCGTGGAAAGAGACTTGCTGGAATGTTAACTGAGTTTAATTTGCAGTCATTTCAGTGATCTAAGATAATACCTACCGCCGGTGTCTTTCAGAGATACAAGTTAGGAAATGTAAGTCGGAGCGAGATTATGAATGGCCTTAAGCAAAGTATTTGAGGGACTAATATACTGCGTCCCAAAATGCCTCTAATTACTAAAAATTAAATGTCATCACTGGTAAAGATGGCATCAGGTGATTTATGCGTCGGTGTATGTCGAGATACGAAGCATTCGGGAAGTTTGGATAGTATGGCGGCACCCAATAACTGTTTTCTGTAAAATATCTGTTCTAGGAAGCAAAAATGCAAATATTGCCCACAATGAATTTTCTATAACTTGAAGACGGCTAAAAATATCTAGATGACAGTTCCATTCACGTACGATTTTTGAAGCTTACTCTACGATTTTCTGAAGTTTAATTTTTCACATTTCACTGCCCAGGTTAAGGTATATTTCGTAGAAAAAGGAAATCCAACTGTTTTCGGATTCGAAAATGGTAAGGAAGAGTGGATTCAGAAAACTCGCTTTCGTGAAACTTTAAATTGCACCTAAAATTTTGGGAACATAATACAGAAGCCCCTGTAATTTCGAAAAGACTCACGTTCCCCTAGGATGACCGAACAGGAACAAATTTTATTGTATAATATTTATCCCTAGGTATTGTTATTCACCACATTATAATAAGGTATGGGTAATCAATCTGACCTGGAACAAGCCCAAGACAGACTGAATCGAATACAGGTAACCTGGAACCCTCCCCAGCATACTCATTTGCATATCAATAATTAATTCCCAGGGATGATATTTACAATTTATATGCATGCAACGTGAATAGCTCCACTTAGAATGAATTTCTAGAGATCTAAAGGACGGTACTCTGGGTAGCCTAAAATATTTCTTCAATCTATTTAAGAGGAGATCGTCGCAAGGTGCCCAAAAAAGCACGAAAGAGGGGCAAGAGTTCCTTGAGGCACAGGCAAGAGCCTCTACTCTCTTGAGTTGTTGAAGGGTTGATATGTTTTGGTTCCAACAAGAGGTATTCTTCGTTTTCATGAGATCTATACTGTATTTTGCTTAATTCTGCATTCGCTCAGCGTCTTACAATTAATATTAAAGTCAGCGAAATTATAGTAGCCAGTCGTCTTTAAGAGAGTGTAGTTGAAACGTGCCGAGACATTCAAAGGTATTACCGGGGATAAAACGATAAAGCTTGGAGGTAATAAGGAAAAATTATTTCAGAAAGGAAAGAAAGATATGTAAACTCAGAAAGCTTCAGGTTTCATCAATTCAGCCCTGGAATTTCAGTTCACAATAAAATAACTCGCAACGGCAGTTTTTTTAATTCACTTTTAGTCATGTTGTTAATGCAACGAATACAGTATTTGCATAAATCAAGCAAAATTACAGTTCTCATAAGCTATGTTAAGGCTGTTTCACTCAATTACAACACTGACTAATACGTTGTCTTACTTAAAATGGCATGAATTAAGTGAAATTGTGCGCTTTTATTAAGTCGGCTATAAAGGTTGTTTCACACACTGATTCCTGAACACCTGAATTAGTAACGACGCACTCGTTTCTTCTATGGCGTTTTAAATAATATGTGTTGAAAAAAGAAGGAAACAAAAACACGCTCCAGAAGAAGGCCAAACCTAAAGAGCTATTTCCTTCCCTTTGCGACTGCCTCGGACTCCAGGTTGGTTTGACTCAGCTAAAGGATAACCTACTTGAGGGCCTTGGCACGGATTCGAGTTTTAGGGATCTTAAGCAACGACGACGACCGCAGTGAAAACTGAAATGTGAATTCACGCTGTTTCGAAAATTCATTGCTCCTCAGTTTCCTTCTCGTTCAATAGGACAATTGCACGATGACGTCATTTTACTACAACTACCAGAATCCTTTAGTTTGTTGTTTTCTTGTGCAAATTAGAGCTATTGTTCTGTAATCCTCAGCGGCATTGACAAATTTAAATAACAAAGCAAAAACGAAATGAATTCTGGTAGTTGTAGTCAAATGTCGTCATCGTGAAAATGGCCTATTTGTCAAATGTTGGTACATTTTTCTGGAGATGAATTCTTAAGGACCGTTACGTTTCTAAGTTTTAGAAAGAATCAGAAAATTGTTGTCTTGTGTTCAACTCCTCCAGAAAACTTGAATTTAGGAAGTTTCACGTCGTGGTCGTGCAACGACGGCAAGGAAATGTACAAAAAAGCGTGATGAACGTACAGAATTCAGTGTTGTTTTGCTAATTTAATCTGTTGCTTTTTTGCCGTTCTCGTTGTAGTCGTCGTCGTCGCTGCTAAGTTTCCTTTCCTTAGGAATAAAAAACTGAAGACAGTTGGCAGCCTCGCCATTTTGTTTTACGAAATATTCAATAATAAAATTTATAGGAACAATACTTAGAAAACGGCATCTTTGTGCCAGTTCAGACGCGGTAAGCCGTCGAGTAGATTAGTTGTAACAAAGAAATATAAAAAGTCATAGAATTCACTTTACAAAAAAATACACTCGTGCTCAGTTATAAAATGTGGCACTCACGTTGAACACATTGACCGCCCTGGTCTAACACACTCTAACTCACACTGAATATATCCGTCTCTTGACTT